GCCCCGGGCTGCGGGGCTTCACCCTCGGCCGAGGGGGCTGACCGCCTCCGAGCGCCGGGGGGAACATCACCCGCGCCCCGGTCGGCTCACCCCAGCTTTTCCGAAGCCTCCCCACGTTCGCCACGGCCGCGTTCCCCTTTCCAGAAAGAGCATACCCAGCACCCGAACCTCCCCACAGGTTTGGAAAGCTGTTCATCGGTGCTGTGTTTTAAAATATATCAGTGATGCCTGGCTGCTTGGATGCTCATCACCTCTAAAGAGCGTTTTCAGCACGCAGCCTGGCAGCCGGGAAGACAGGAGATGGGAGGTCAGCATAAAGTGGATGAATAAATAATGCATAAAGAGACGTCAGATGACGCACAGCATCAAGCCTGATCTTGAGCGCAATTCCCACTGCAGGCAATACGAACGTTACCTGAGGTAAGGTTTATCTCCTGACTTCAGGATCCGGCCTGCACCAAAGATGCCAATGCCACTACTTGTACCACAACATTCAGCGTCCCTGATCAAAACCAGCATAAACTTGCGGGCCAGGGGAGCAGTTTTATTATTCACAGAGTAAAAAGGGTTCTTTCTCAAGCTATTACTGTTGCCAACTGAAAACACCAGTTCTTTGTGGGGGTTTAATACATTTGTTTCCAGCCCACTTATCACCTCCTGTTATTAAATGAGGCTATGAGGCAGGTTTGGCCTTCCCTGGGATGGGCAGTCCCACTGCCTGCGCTTACGTGCGAGCGATTCCCCCGGCTTCTACCACTGCGGAGAGGTGCACACCAACTGCACTGTACAAACAGCAGAGTGTCACAGGGTCACTGCGAGCGGAAGTTCCATCCGCTAATTCTACGGATGCGTAAAGCTGCAAATAATTAACTTGTCAAGATCCAAGCTGTCGGGTACTTACGCCTACTTATTCTTAAAAGTCACGCACCTTCGAAATTACTCCCAGCTATCCTGACCAAAAGAACGACTGCCAGCCATGGCGGCCAGAAAACTGCTTGCGGGCAGAAAAGCAGTACCTAAGCAGATCAACACAAGGTGAAAAAAGTTGTTTTTTCAGCTCTGCGGTACCTAAAAGCCTTCCCATAAGGAGTAAATTCTTAGCAGGCTAACTCATGTAGCTTTTCAAAGGCATGTAGGAGCCACAGTAAAAATTCAGACAGGGATGTGAAAAATTTTCTTTTTATGAAGCACAAATGTTAAAGTATAACTGTACACTGCAGTAACGTTTACATGTCATAAAAAAATTTTTTAAAAGTGTAGAATTCAATACTACATGCATGACGTTATATAAAAAAAATATGAAAAGGTGTATTTAATGCCTTGATTCACAGTAAGGAGAACTCTTTTGTAAGCTGAGTATTCTTCTCTCTGCCTCCCCCATTATTTCACTTGATCAGCTTTCTCTGCAGAGACGTAGAAATCAGTTCACTGACTTGAATACAGCAATCCATCCAGCAAAACAGGTTTCAGAGTAATCCATCAACAGAGCTAAAGAACAACAGCAGAGTCCTTTCAAATTAAAAAAGCGGTCTGGTTGAGAGACCAGCCACTCACAACTCCCTGCACCCCAAACTAACTTCTCACTTGAGTTACAGAAAAGATTTACTTTCTAACAGCTGAAAGGTGTAAGTCCTTATCAAACCGTGGCATGAAATAGCTACTCTTTCTGCTGCATCTGAACAGTCATTTTTGTTTCTCTGTGGAGAATCCAGCCTGAACTGTACCTGCAGCAACCTGGAGAGACGAGAGAAGTATTCGTTAAAAATGACTGTTGCGTATTTTCAGTGTTCAGGCATATACTCACAGAATGTTAAAGAAAGAAAAAGACAAGATCTTCTGTATGTTAAGTCCAGAAATAAAGCTGGACAATATCAATTCGTGTATTATAAAATAACAGTGGTTCTCACTTACTCATCTTCTTATGTATTCAGTTTTTTGGTCCGTATCTGAAACTGATGAGTCGCTTTCATCAGAAGAACAAGAGGAATTTTGCCATTCATGAGAGCTGTTACGACAACGTGGTTTCTGCACGCTTTCTGCGTCACCCAGGAGTTTTGATTGAAAAGCACGAGTACACTGCCAGTCAATTGCATCTTCCCGGGAAGAGAGAAGAGCTGCAGAACCATCCACATTCTCTTCGAGGGCTCCCAACAGCACACTTTTCAAGTTAATGGTAAAGCAAGCACTGTTCCTTCGCCTAGAAGAATAGTTACAATTTACCTCAGAGAAAGGATTAAGTAACTCACTACTCGCATCTTTGTCTTCTTCAACGTCCGTCTCATGCTCTTCAAAATCTTCTGGGTCAGCGTCTGGATTTTCACTTGCCTGGCTGCCGCTGTTGTCACATGTGCTATCTGTTGAGCACTGCACGAATACATTTGGCGTGTCAGAGGAATGAGGTACTCTACTTATGATATCACGCCCTGTGTAGTAATGATTACTTATGGCACTGCTGTCACTGTCATCACTGTCATCTTCATCACTGACACCACTGCTGGATTCATTTGCCTTTTTTTTAACCTCTTTGTAAATGATCTCTACAGAGGCTATGTCTTCAGATTCCGATGTCCAAGGTGAATAGGCCAACATCCTGATGAACACCTAAAAGAGCAAAGCGAATTAAAACAAAAATCAGCCAAATTTGCACACAGGCACAGAAAAATATGAAAAAAATACCCCCGGTCATGAGGTTGTCAAACAAATGATTCCTTCTGTGCCACATTTTTGGCTTTTTCTGCAGAGTTCAGGGCATCTAGGACTGTTCCCTCTTCTCCATTCCTGTAAATATGACAGCCTTCATTACAAATCAAGGCACACAGCATTGGACAGCCTCAAAGAAATGACACCAGTGCCAAGCAGTGTCAGGTATGAAATGTTTGAATTCTAATTTTTGAGATACCTTTCTAAGACTAAAAGCTCATTTTAGAAATACATCTTAAACGTGAGGTGAGCCTTGCAACTCGCTACTAGCTCTTGCAGTTACCATGCAAAACAGAAGCCTTACACGGATGATCAATTTCAATGGCCTTTAGAAATGTACCATTTGAAGCAATGAACTATGTAACATCCTAAGTCCTGTTTTCTCAGTTTTACTCTGCACTTCTGAGGATTATTGAATATTCGAAGCATTGGGGGGAAATGTTGACAATAAAAAAATTAACCTTAGACACTACTTGGCAAAGTCACGTTCAGCAATCTTAGGGATATGAAGATAACGACATAGCAAAGGTCAGAAACATGAGGAAAAAAGTCTTAGAAAAAGTTGAGACCAATCTGCTCTGGATACGTTTGTAGAAAATGGAAAATATTTATGCTGAAAAACCCCACAGAATCAAATGTAAAAGAAGTCAGAGACTATAAAAAAAAAAGCAAACAAGCAAAGATGGATAGAAACAAGTTCCAGGAATCTTGTTGGTTTTGCTTGAAATTTACTGCCAGTTCAGTCTCTTCTCCTTCTATTAAAATGAAAACATTAGCTGACTCGGGACTGGCTTCCTCAAGCGCTAAAACATGACACTTGATCGCAGAAGAAGTCAAAGAAAGATTATTTTATTCAAAATGGTGGAACAATTTGAGTGATATATTACCATTACCTTTCTTTCTTCCTTAAGTACTCTTCCTTAATCATGGACTTTTTTGCCAATCGCTGTATGTGACTGCTGAGAATAGCTTAGCATTTGGAAGGTGATGCAGGTACTGTTTGCCTGGTGTATGGGCCCATCCTCCCCCCTACCCCCACCCCGAGTAAGTTTTCTTCCAGAGCTATGTTGTCTCTTTCCTTTTCCTTTGCTTTTTGTTTCCATTCAACTCCAATATTTGGGTAGATTATGACAGCCTGGTTCAGGAGTTAGTTTCTAAGATACTATGCCAGCTCTAGATTCTGGCAGAGATAACTTGCATATAAATATCCTTTTTTTCCTACTAAGTTTTCCACTATCAGGCATCCTTTTCACTAATCCCTGGTTATAACAGAATACAGTAATAAATCATTACTGAGACTGGAGGAGGAAGACAAGGAAGACAGACACCAGGCTACCCAGAGAAGTGATCCTGAACTTGCTAGTAACAGTTCTGGAACGAACAACTAGGATACTTTTCCAGCAGGGACATAGCTGCACCTAACTGCATCCCAATCTACAGTATGAGATACATGTGAAACTGGCAGGTTGGGGACCCGCAAGGTGTATCTGACTTCAGGAAAGAGGATTTTTCCTCTGACTGAGAAGCTACTGTTGATGTTACAAAGCAGACTCAGGAAACCTGAGAAACAACATGCTTTAAAGACTGCTTCCTCAAAGCAGTGTCTCATCTCTACCGAAGGTCTTTGATGGTCTGTCTGTTGTCTCCTTGCTGAGGTGAATTGAGAGTAAGTTCTTCTTTGTTGTGTGTGAGATCATTTCCAACAACCGTCCAAACCTTGCTCTTACCAGGCTGCTGAACTTTTACTTCTAGCACTTCTCACGTGCTGTTCTTGACGCCTTTTGTGGACAATAACTGTGAAGCATAGCTTTCGAAAAAAAAGTCTTAGAGCACCAACAGTGACTCTTTTCTTCTCCAGATGTGCCTAAATAACTGGCCCATCTTTTGGGGAGAATGAGACCAAAACTCCCAACTCTAGGCCATTTTTATGCATCACTACAGGAACAATACGCCCATACCCAACTGGGTCTTAAAGCTACCTTTTGTCTTTTCAGCTTGCTTTCCTATGGGAACATGAAGACCTTGAAGGCGAGTTTAAAATATTTGCTTTCAGTTGTAGAATATCTCAAAATGCCTTTAAACTCCAGCAACCAGGGACCTGGCTAAACTATCTTCAAATCTTCAGGGAACGCTCTGATTTTTGGTGTAATAAATGGAAAAGTATTACAGGGGTAACTGGTTTGCTCTTAGAGAGGAGTACAATGCTGCAGGGTGAAATAATGGAGGCAAAATGTGCCAGAAACTGCTTTGCTAAGGAGCAACGGATACACATTGCTCCTGAATGTTTTCAGAGCATCCTTCTTGGTGGAGACCATGTCTTCTCCCTGTACACTTCACCTAAGAACTGGAGTAGGTTTTTTGTTTTGGAGTTATTGTTCTGGCTCAGATAGTAGAAGAAATTTGTCTGCTGCAGGAAGTGTTTACATTTAAGGTAATTTTCAAAGGGCAAGGGGTTAATTGTCCTATGCTGGGTGCTTTGCTGTAGGACCTAGCCTGCTTCTATGTACCATAAAGAGTTGATTTGAAGTTACTTTGAGGGTGTCTCCCCCTACCTGCTACCTGCCCCCTCTAACTTCATAGAATCATAGAACAGCCGAAGGGACCTCGAAAGTCCATCTGGTCTAACCTTTCGTGGGAGAGGGAGCCTAGTGAGATTATCCTAGCACCCTGCCCAATCACATATTGAAAACCTCCGGTGATGGGGACTCTACCACACGCTTGGGGAGGTTGTTCCAGTGATTCATTGCTCTCACTGTAAAACATTTCTTTCTTGTATCGAGATGGAACCTCTCATGGTGCAACTTGTACCCACTGCCCCTTGTCTTGAGAGCCTCTGTCCTGTTTGTAGCCACTCTAAGTACCGGAATACTGTAATGAGGTACCCCCTGAGCCTTCTCTTCTCCAGGGAGAAAAGGCCTAACTCCTTCAGTCTTTCCTCACAGGGCAGGTTCTCCAGCCCTTTGCTCATCTTCGTGGCCCTCCTCTGGACCCTCTCCAGTCTGTCCGCATCTTTCTTGCGCCGTGGGAACCAGAACTGGACACAGTACTCCAGGTGTGGCCTGACAAGCGCTGAGTAGGGTGGGATGATCACACCTCCTTTCCTTTGTTAGTAACTTGTTACGGAAGTAGCAAGAAATGGTTTTGAAAAAGACTGAATATTTGCTCTGCAGAACAGACAAGACTTAGAAGCCTATTGACTATCTTTGACACAGGTAAACCGCAAATTAAAAAATTATATGTGCTTATATAACTTGTACCTATTGCACAGGATTAGAAATTTCAGCTGGTAAACTTCCTCCTCCCAACCAGGAAGGTTAAATACGAGAATTGTTACATACCAAGTTATGTGGAAGTGATTTGTCTTGAAGAATATAACCTCCTGCATGCATACACTTCAGAGCACTGGCTAACAGCAGTGAAACACATATAGCACCTACGATTGCAATTGCATGATAATCTGCAAGTGAAAAAAAACAAACAAACATACACGAATGAAGTTTCCAATGACGACACCTCAAATTCCACATTCAGAACAGCTATTTAGAATCACAGAATAATTTTGGTTAGAAGGGACCTCTGGAGGTCACCTGGTCCAAAGTCAAAACAAGACCAAATCTCAAATTAGATTCAGGAATTAAAAAAGAAATTACACCATCTTTGATAACTATTTATGCACTTAGTGGAGATTTGTATGGCTCACAGGATTAACAATAGATTTGTAGCGCCAAAGTAGATGGGTTTTTTATATTTCACTTATAAATCCCCACAATGTTTATCACTCGGAAGGTACTTTCTCTCTTATTGTTTTTAGGATTAATTGACTTGTAAATCTTGCTACATAAAAAGAAAACACTTGCACATAACCAAGTCTGACAATCCATTCCTGCACCACAGCACAGTTACCTTGTTGAGCTACAGAATCTGCAGTTATACATTTCCAGGCTGATGGGATGGAACGTTGGTTTAGAGATGCAGTGAGCATAACAGACACACAGTAATTTCTATTTGGATACAATTCTTCAATGACAGTACTAAAAACTTCTTCAGTGGTTTTCTTACGTGGCCTCTGCCATGGAAGAAAATGTTTTAAAGTTAGCTATTTGCCTAAAAAGAGATCCCCAGCCACTGATAAAACATTGTCCTGGTTTCAGCAGGGATAGAGTTAATTTCCTTCCTAGTAGCTGGTACAGGGCTGTGTTTTGGATTTAGGAGGAGAACAAAGTTGATAACACACCCACGTTTTAGTTGTTGCTGAGCAATGCTTACACTAGCCAAGGACTTTTCAGCTTCCCATGCTCTACCGACTGAGAAGGCTGGAGGTGCACAAGAGGCTGGGAGGGGGC